ACACACACTGAGCTGTTTCAGACATCGAGGGATAAAATGAAAATGTGACAAGAATTCTCGAGTTCTGGAGTGGTAATAGCAGCCTGACTCAATGAAGAGAAAAAGCACACTTAGGCACTTTTTAATTCCCACTAATATATATATAGAAAATAATTAAATTCAAGGCTGCAGTGAAGATAGACTCACCTTAAGCAGATTTTTTTATTAACATACTTTTGTAAACTCTGTGGCAGAGTGCTGATCAATGACACCAGGAGTTTACCATATTTTAATGAAATTGTTTATGACATAGATTTCTGTGGCCAGAAGGTACTTTGTATGGTCAACTTTAACATTTATATTTGGCACAAATGTCTATTTGCCTTGCCTTGCATAGTATGAGAGAGAGAAGTAATTATTCTAGAATAAGGAGGCAGTGTTTGGTTACAAGAATCAGTTGAAGGATTCTTAAGTGAAAATAGAACCACAGCACATGAAGAATTTGAGTCTAAACTAAACCACTTCAGAGATTAATGACTCTATCAATAGGTCTCCTCACAACATGCTGGTCCAAATGGAAAATAAAATTAACTAGGGCACACAGTGTCCTGAAAGGATCTGTTATGATTAATCCTCTTGCGGAAGAAACTCCAGATGGAACTGTTGAAATTCACCTTAGATGGGATGCTTTAGATATATGATGGACTTTCCTTAGCAGGAGTTCTGACAGACCATCAGCATTGCCCTTCTGGTAAAAGAAACGTGCTATAAACTCTGTGGTCAGAACAGTGAAATATGTTTCCTAGCCTAAATGACTCCTATCAATCAAATGGAAAAAAAAATTGTGGCTAGCACATAGCTTTTTTGTTACCGGTTGAGATTTATTCCGTTCCCCTTCCCTTGGCTTGCTAGCAGCCATCCTGAATCTTTATAAAGGTTGAGAAGATTGCTCCAAGTTGGCAAGGAAGATAAAAAAACAAAAGGATGTTGAGAGTGGGGATTTTGTTGGTGGTGCTGGGAAGGAATTCTATAGTTCTGGATACCATTCAAGTGCAGAAGTAATCCACATCTACACAACAGAGGGGCTATGAAGAAGCAAAATATTGCTCTTTATTCCTCTTGTAGCTTGCTGTTTGAGATTGCCTGAGCTTCTACAGGCAGGCTATAAATTCTAAAACAACAAAAGATTTAGTATGAGAGTTTAGTAAAGCCTAAATAATAGATGATGGGACTGACTGTATATACTTTATCATACACTAGAGTGCTACAGCAGTCTCCTTACTAAGCTGAATGGTTTGGCTTGCCTGAACATCATGCACCAGGAATGGGTGTTAAGTGGAAGAAGAGGCTTGTGCAAAGCCTCCCTCACTTGTGCCAAGGCAGCTCTATTCACGTTGGTGTGAAGGATGCTGCAGCCACAGTAGATTACAGGGGAGAAGGATTTGTGAATGGACTTACCTGTTCCTCAATCTGTTGCAGCATCTTAAAAAACAGAGACATCACCTTGCCAACAAAGGTCCGTTTAGTTAAAGCTATGGTTTTCCCAGTAGTGATGTATGGAAGTGACAGCTGGACCATAAAGAAGGCTGATCGTCGAAGAATTGATGCTTTTGAATTATGGTGCTGGAGGAGACTCTTGAGAGTCCCATGGACAGGAGGAAGATCAAACCTATCCATTCTTAAGGAAATCAGCCCTGAGTGCTCACTGGAAGGACAGATCCTGAAGCTGAGGCTCCAATACTTTGGCCACCTCATGAGAAGAGAAGACTCCCTGGAAAAGACCCTGATGTTGGGAAAGATGGAGGGCACAAGGAGAAGGGGACGACAGAGGATGAGATGATTGGACAGTGTTCTTGAAGCTACCAGCATGAGTTTGACCAAACTGCGGGAGGCAGTGGAAGATAGGAGTGCCTGGCGTGCTCTGGTCCATGGGGTCACGAAGAGTCGGACATGACTAAATGACTAAACAACAACAACAACAATCTGTTGCTAATAAAAACTACATATGCCCATCACTAGATAGCCCTATTCAGGCATTCAGAATCCTGGTTAAATAAACCTATGTGTTAGGGAATGTGCACAAGCATGCTAGTTTCATCCTGAATGGAGGCTTCTATGTGCTGTAGAACCCTGGAAAATCAGGGTTCTACATCAAATATGACACCGTCACATGGCATTTGGTTAAAAGATGCCTGTTTTTCATGTTATGAGAGCTTGAGGGTGTAAAGACAGATGAACAGTTGGAATTTTGATAAGGAAAAGGTGGGGGGGGGAGCACAACCTCATACCCCCCTCCCTTACAAGAGGATGGGAAAGGGAAAAAGGCAAGAACCAAACGGGAGAAGTCTCCCTCCCAAGAAGGGGATACTTTAGAAGTTGCAGATGTAAGAGGAGGCTTTTGGTCGTTTGATGGGTAAATGGCAGAGGTGGGTGATGTATATTTCCATTCTTGTAGCATAAGATATAGTTACTATGCCACAACTAAATTTTAATGATCCATCTTTTTCTGCATTTCTCACCATTCTGACTGGGGATAATATTTAAGCGAAAGATAAAGTGATGTGAGAGCAAAAACACACTGGCTTAGATCCAAAGATTTTACTCTGTGAACAGGAGTTTCCATTCACAGAAGGCGAGTTATGCTCATAGAAGGACCCCTTCCGTGTGTAGACCTCTTATTCAATTAACAGGCACTCTTCCCATTCACAGACCCAAAGCTTAGGATCCAAGCCATTATCTGCAATGTGAATTTATTAACAGTTTTACAGCAGTTACGTATTATCTGCTGTATGTTATTTACTGGGCAAGCCAGTACAACACATTGTGCAATGTTATATGATACCAGCCATTCTCAGATGACCTTGGTGGCAAAGGGGATTGGAGGATCCCGTGTGTGTGTGCGCGCTTGCACTCAGGCTAGGTAAATTGCATTATTGTTGTCATAATCTGACCCTCTGAAAAAACTGTTGCTCAACTGATGTAAAACGCAGTGATCTTGCATTATTGAGGATATGAAGTGGAACCATCTGTTACTAACCCAACCACAATTTTTTGCAGACTACATCTATTCTGTTCTATTACAACAAAATGCTGCTGTTTGTGTTCTTCTTTTTTTAATCAGGCACATAAAGTTTATGTAAAACAGATGCCCACAAAATGAAACTAGTTAACTCTTGTGCTAGAGGGACATACCATGAAGGGTTTTCTGGAAGCTGGTTTGGCAATTAAATAGTTTATTATACTTATTAGATCACATCACACATTAGTAGAGTTAGTAATACATGCTGGGATTGGCAGGACAGCAGCTTTTCTCAGTTTATGAATGGATAAAACCACATTGGAAACTGTCCCCTGGAACCGAGTTTGATTGTCACAGCTTGGCATTACAGCACAACTTCTGTCCAAAATGGCATCCATCTGGCACCACAAATGAATATGAGGGAGGATGATTTGCATCCTTCAAACCAATCTCAGAAACATTGCTTGGCTACCAATTTTTATACAGTCTATTGCAGAATGAAAGCACTTTAGAATGAATGTCTATTTGAAATAGCAGATTCAAACAATCCAGACCAGACTATATCAGCGCTGAGGCAGAATTCATGCGCTGGTGCGACACTGAGGGTGTTTCCACTCTCTATATAATTCAGTGCAGGTGAAGGTTGTGTGTGAATGGTGGAAGCATAGGGATGAGACTCTGTGGGAAAGACCAAACTAATCAAAGTGAGTGCTCATGTTAGTGTTCCAATCCCTAAATGACCGAAAAAATCCCCAAATCTCTGAAAGAAAGGTTCCATCCCTGGTCTTTGACACTTGAGATATGTATTTTTAGGAGCCACCCTATTCTGTGATTTTAAGTTGTTTCCAGTGTTGTATTTTAAATTGCGCTGGCTAGGGTTGATGGGAGTTGTAGTCCAACATATCTATATTGTACCATCATGGCAAAGGCTTAGACTAGGAATCTCTGCCCGCTCTTTTGAACTGGCTAGCCAAAGCAGCAGGTCCTTGAGTATATTGACACAAATTGGCTGGTGATAAACTTAGGTTCTTCACCGAGCATGGTATTTTACATTTAGCAAGCCGATTTCTTTTTGATGTGCCCTTCAGTTCCATTTATACTGCCATAGATTGTCTGCAAATTAGCAAGCCATTGTCCGCCCTGATCCCGCATGCTTGATCAGGACATATAATGTATTGCCGGACATCAAGTCAATAGGCAATGAAGGGGAAAGCTTAATTCAGCCTCAAAATCAATCTCAGAATCTTGTGCAGAAGCCAGCTCGCCTGTGCTTTATTCTGATAAATTAACTCTGCAACCAGCAACCTGCCCTGTCAAAGCAGGGGGAAAGCAAAAGTTCCCCATTGAGTTCCCCATTGTGCTGGTGCAGGCATATTACAGAAAGATGGCACACAAAGCAGGAAAGAATTACAGCTGCTGTGATTTCTAGCTCACTTTCTCACACAAAGGGACAAGGCAGTCATCAGGCTGTATAAATATATAATACACAGCACTATATTGTTATGAGTTGGGCGGGAGGGGGAGTAGGCTGTGTGCCGAGACCCTTCTAATTCCTGGGTCCAGCAAATGTTAAAATCTAAAATCCAGTTTCCTGGAACAGCCAGGCTAGCTTCTTGGTCCTCTAAATGATTTATTAAGGTAACAAAGAAAGTGGCTCTGTGCCAGATATCAAATAGAGGGGGCCCCACTGTCCCTCAACTTGCTGGTAGTTAAAAAGATAAATGCCAGAGTTGAGAGATGAGTTATGTGAGTTAGAGGTAGAAGCAAGGAAGGCTGGGAAGGCAGAGAGAAACAAGGCTATGAGAGAAACAAGACCCTCTTGGGAGTATTAATGCTGTGAACCCCCCCCCCCATTGTAGACTCAGGTTGTATATATGTGTAAATAATTCGTATATCATAAGGACACCCCAGTCTCTGCTGTGCTTCGTTCTGAAGGAAACACAAACCCTGGGTAAACGCCTGGAACCCTGTTGGGTTGAAATAAGCGACAGACGAATGACAAGTGTCATATGGGAGGCATCTCTCGAGCATGTCTCAGAGAGTCCCTTTTATTGAATATTACAGCATTTCCACATATGTGCTTGTTGCTGATTGGTTAACATGAATACAATGCAAGGGTTGAATATAGATATTAATCATCAATAGATTAAAGGGTGGGAAAGGGAACACAGAATTGGACAGGCGTAAAATCTCTTTATTAAACTATTAACTAGTGATTGATAATAAACAATTACTTAATGATTGATATTGCATGACTTGAAAGAACATAACCATCGCGTTCCGTAGATGTGGTCAACAATGCATTAAGAACAGGTCAAGGTACACTGTTTCATGAACTCAATGGGAACTGATCAGAACATTCCCAGACCCGTGCGCAGAGGCAGAAACTTCCCAGCACCGCTTGGAAATTGGGTTGGCGTTCAACAGTATCTTTAACTTTTCTAGGTGGTGCCTCAAATTCATCTTGCAGGTATATAAATTATACTTACTTTAAACCAGGCTCCCAGCAAGTTTTAGCAGCTAATTGATGTCAGCTGCAGAACTGGCCATTTATCACTATGATGAAAGTAGATCAGCATCTCAGCACTGGGCTGGTCCCTATGGAATGGAAGCTACAGAGCAAGGAAAGACCGGGCCATGCCTTTTATTGGACTAACTAGTCTTTAAAATACTGGGAGTTAACTTCTGGAAAGGCACTGCCCCGCCCCCATGTATTTCTTCAGTGCAAGTATTTAATTTTTTTAAAACTGTGACAACATAAAATATCCAATTTATCCATGCTTTTGGAGAACCCATAGAGACTGTTGGTCTTAATAACAAAGAGACAGGAAGAAGAATTGGATTCATATTTGCTCTTCTGTTCAAGGAAGGCACTCAGATCCAATGGAGGTTCCTGCTAGAGGAAGAAAGGGGGAGAGATGATGTTCACTGCTTCCCCCTTCGGCTTCTAATTCCACCTCCCATCTTGTTCCAGAGGATCCGCTGACTTGCTACAGGAGGTTTTTAGGGACACAGAGGGAATTGGCAAAAAACATAACAAAAACCTACCTCCCCTTTCCCCCTGAACAGCACCCCATGAGCAGAGTTCCACCTGCTGGTTATCTGGATCTAACCCAGTGGCTGGCTCTGTACTCGACATTGCAACCCTATGCATGTTTACAATAAGTATAGAATCATGGAACTGTAGAATTAAGGGACCATGAGAGTCATGTAGTCTCACCCCCTACAATGCAGGGATCTTTTGCCCAATGCGGGGCTCAAACCCATGTGACTTTGGGATTAAGCGGCTCATGTTCTACCAACTGAGTTATCTTCCTAGGTGTCTGACTTGTGTTCATTGCAGTTTACTTCCAACCTGTAATGAGTATGAGTTACTCGTGCGTAAACTGGTGCCTCTCTAGGCTGATTTGCCTTGTTAAACCTTTCTGACTGCACAGCCCCTTCTGATCATGACTGTCTCAGTCACTAGCAGAATCCGTCAGTGGGCGTTTCTTGAATCTCTTCCAACATAAGAGTTGTTTGACACCCAATCGCCTCCGCCTCTCACTGCGCGGGAGCCTTCTGCGCAGGGTGGGCGTGGGTAGCGGGGGACCTGTCCCCTCCTCACTGAGTTCCAGTGAAGAGTCCGTGAGCCCTCTCTCCGATTTTCCCATCTGCTCACTTTTGTTCCTGGTGTTGCGCTTAAATGCTTCCCCTCCACTGAGTCGCCTCTCCCCCTGCTGCTGGGTCCTTCTCCAGCATCATCCAGGAGCCTCCCCTTCGCCTCTCGCTCTGATGTCAGTTCCCTGACATCCACCTCCCCCCCAGAATCCCCTCCACCCCTGGGCCGACCTGTGGGACCAACTCGTCCCCTTCGTCGGCCAAGGAGGCGGGGAAACCCCGGAAGGAACTGTCACCATCTTCCGTGGGTTCGAAACCCGCTTCCCAATCGCTCTTCCACCTACCAACGGGGTGGTCTTCCCGTCTGATGCTTCTTCCTCCGAAACCTCTCCTCCCTCCTCGGAGTCAGAAAATCCCTCAAAACCTCTTCCTCATCTGTGGTTCCAAATTGCTCCTCCCAGAATCTCTCCAGGGGTTTGGGTTTGTCCGGGAACCGGTGGTGGAATACCTCCACCAGATACCTGTCCTCGACGGCTTCCGTGGGGACCCACGTGTTTTCGGACCTGGGTTCCCCTTCCCACGCTACCAAATACTCCACCCGGCGCCCTTGCCACCTTGAGTCCAGTATTTCCGTGGCCCTGTGGTGGTGTTCCCTTTCTTCTACCTGCGGGTGTGTGGTGACTTCTCCCTCTTGCCCCTGGAATTCCCGCCCTTCCCTATGCGGTGAAAGCAGGGACCTATGGAAAACCGGGTGTATTTTCATGCTATCAGGCAACCTGAGCTTAAATGCCACGGGATTAACTTGCTGTGTTACCTCAAAAGGTCCCAGCCGTCTGGGCTGCAACTTCTTGCACCCCCCTTTGAAAGGTAGCCCTTGGGTGGACAACCACACCCGGTCCCCCACCCGTATGGTCTCCCCTTCCCTGCGGTGCTTGTCTGCCTGCCTCTTGTAAGTTTCCTTGGCCCGCTCCAAGTTCATCTTAAGTTGCTGGTGTAGGGCCTCCATTTCTTCCACAAACTGCTCTGCGGCGGGTACGCTCCAGCTTTCCTCCCCACTCCCGGGAAGGCCCTGGGATGACACCCATGGTTGGCCATGAATGGGCTCATTCCCGTGGACACGTGTTCCGCGTTGTTGTACGCGAATTCAGCCAGCGCTAGTTTTTCTACCCAATCGTTCTGCCTCTCGCTGACATAGCAGCGTAGGTATTGCTGGAGTATACTGTTCGCTCTTTCTGCTTGCCCGTTGGTCTCTGGGTGTCTCGCCGTCGAGAAACCCACCTCCACCTGCAGTAAGCTCATGAGTTTCCTCCAGAACCGGGAAGTAAATTGTTTTCCGCGGTCGGAGATAACCCTCAAGGGGGCGCCATGCAGCCGGAATATGTGCTCCACAAACAACCGGGCTGTTTCCTCTGCCGTTACAGCATGTGAGCAAGCTATAAAGTGGCACATTTTTGTCAGTAGGTCGACCACTACCATGACTGCTGTCTTTCCCCGGGACTTGGGCAAATCTGTCATAAAATCAATGGATACCACCTCCCAGGGTTTCCCCGGCGTGGGTAAGGGTTCCAGCAATCCTGTGGGGGCAGCCCGCTTGCCCTTTGGCAGCGGTCGCACCCCCGTACATATTCCCGTACATCCTCCCTCACCCTGGGCCACCAGAACTGCCTGGTCACAAGCATCATGGTTTTGTGCTGTCCAAAGTGCCCTGCTGTGGGGTTGTCGTGGAGTTGTTTGAGTACCTTCCCTCAGGGTCTCCCCCGGTACGTACAGCGCTCCCCTATAGTACAGTACCCCTTCCTTCTCCTCAAACCCTTCTTGGGTCCCTCTTCCGTCTCGTAGTTCCCGGATTTTAGTTTGCGCGAACACGTCGTTTCTGGTCAGCCCGGCTAGTTCTCGTTTCCCCACCAAAGTTCCCCCACACACCCATCGGTCCTCGGGGATCACGTGTCGTTTCTCCGGCGGCCCCTCTCCTTCCAGGTACTCCGGTTTACGCGAGAGTGCGTCTGCTCTTACGTTTTCTTCTCCGGGCACGTAGCGGATTTCAAAGAAAAACTTGGAGAACTCCTGTGCCCATCGAATCTGTCTCTGGTTGAGTACTCGTGCGGTTCTCCAGTACTCCAAGTTCTTGTGATCTGTGCAAACCTGGATCTGTTGTTGCGCCCTATCAGTAGATGACGCCAACGACGAAAGGCCGCGTAGATTGCCAGCAGTTCGCGGTCATACACTGTATAGTTTTGCTCCGACTTGCTCAGTTTTCTGGAGAAAAAGGCACACGGTTTCCATTCCTGCTTTCCCTTCCCTGGCTGCAAAGGACCGCCCCCACGGCTCTGTCGGACGCGTCGGTCTCTAGCCTCAGGGGTTTCTCCAGATCTACGTGCAGGAGTTGCTCTTCCGATGCGAACGCCTTCTTCAGTTTTTCGAAGGATTGCTGGGCCTCTTCTGTCCACACAAACTTCTTTTTGCTACTGAGACAATCCGTGATTGGCGCTGTCAAGTGGGCGAAGTTCTTGATGAACTTCCTGTAGAAGTTGCTGAACCCTAGGAACCTCTGTACGTCCTTCCGTGTCTTGGGAGCCTTCCACTCCAGCACTGCCTGCACCTTGCTTGGGTCCATCGCTAAGCCTTTGTCAGACAACTTGTACCCCAGAAACTCGACTTCTCTGGCGTGAAACTGACATTTTTCCAGCTTGACCCACAACTGGTGCTTCTGCAGTCGTTGTAACACTTCCCTGACGTCTCTAACATGTTGTTCCTCATTGTCCGAATAAATTAAGACGTCGTCCAAGAAGGCTACGCAGTTCTTGTACAGCAGAGACCCCAACACGTGGTGCATGAAAGCTTGAAAACAGGCGGAGCCTGACTGTAATCCAAAAGGCATAACTAAGTACTCAAAGGCACCTAGGGGTGTGAACATTGTGGTCTTCCATTCGTCCCCCTCCCTCATCCTGATCAAATTGTATGCGCCCTGAGGTCCAGCTTGGTAAAAATTTTGCCTTTCCTCACTCGCGTTAAAATGTCGTCAATCCTGGGCATTGGGAAGGTCACGGGTTCTGACACCAAATTGACAGCTCTATAGTCCACTACGAGCCTGGGTTTATTTGTGTCCTTTTTGTCCACAAAGAACACCGGACTGCCCCCTACTGCCTTTGATTCTCTTATGAAGCCTCTTTTCAGGTTCTTGTCGATAAATTCTCGCAACTCCTTCATCTCCCTGTCTGACATGGCGTACAGCTTACCCACTGGCAGCTGAGCCCCGGAAGCAAGTTGATCTGGCAGTCAAAGGGCCTATGGGGTGGCAGTCTATCTGCCTCCTTTTCGCTGAAGACCTCCCGCAGATCTGCGTATTGTGGCGGCACCTCCCCTTTCCGCTCCACCGCCATCCCAGCCACCCTGGCCACGGTCATTCTTGGGGCTTCCCCCCCTAGACAGTGTTCCAGGCAGTAAGCTGATCCAAAGGTGACTGTCCTCTGATGCCACGCCACCACTGGATCATGTTGTGCTAGCCAGCTCATCCCTAATATTATTGGGGGTCCTGCTAGCGAGGCGACGTGAAAGGCGATGGTTTCCGAGTGCCTGGACACCCTCATTCTCATTGGCGGGGTTTGGTGTGTCACTTCCCCTCCTAGAAGCTCCCTGCCATCAATGGTGGTCACTTGCAAGGGAAAATCCAAAGGCAGTAAGTGGAGCTGGTGCTCTAATGCAAAGTCCTTGCTGAAGAAATTACATGAGCTGCCTGAATCCAGCATGCCTTTCACCTTGACTGGGTGCCCGTTCGGGAGTTCTAGCACCACTTCGATGGCTATTGCCGCCTTGGGGGTCCGGGTGGGGCACTGTTACTGGTGGCTGGCTTGGGGGTTGTGCCCCTTGATTGGCAGCCACGCGTTCCCGTTTCGCTGTTCCTGGTCCTGTACCACCTCCTCCTCACCCCTGCGGTTCCCACCATTCCTTGCCAAGCCTTTCTTTGAGGGCAGGCTCTGGCAAAATGCCCTGGCCGCTGGCAAAGGTAACACCTTTTGGAGGTTTTCCAATCCTTTCCCTCCTTCTTGCGCCCTTCGCTGGTGCTTGAAACTTCCCGCGCGCGCCCCATCTATTTCCATTGGCTCTGCTGGCGGGGAGGGCTGCCTTGGTATTTCAGGAATGCGGTAGTCATGGCAACGTTGCTCTCTCCCTTCCCGCCTCTCCTGGGCCCGCGCTTCCTGGCGCGCGCCAATCGCAAGCACAGCCTTGGTCAGCTGATCCATCCCCTGTGGGCGGGGTGCGCGGGAAAGTTCATCCTTAACCGTTGGGGACAACCCCTCCTCGAATAACATCTGTATGGGTTCGGAGCCCAGTTCCCACCCGAGGCGATGAACTATCATGGCAAAGCGCGACCAGTAGTCCCTGACTGACTGGCTCCCCTGTTTACAGTTCATCAATTCCCGCTTAGTCACACTTTTTTGAACATCAGTGGAAAACATCGCGTCCATCGCTTGGAAGAATTTCCTCAGGTCCTGCATGGCGGAATTCTGCGTCGCCATAAGGGGTCTGACCCATTCTCTGGCCCCGTCCTGCAGGTGACCCACAACATATGCCACCTGCGCCGCGTCGTCTTCAAAATCGTTATGCTGCACGTCCAATGCGTACTCTATTTCCGTTCTAAACGCACTGTAGTCTTGCGGCTTCCCCCCAAACTTGTGCACCAGTCCCGGTACCTTCCTTGCTATGGGGGTGGGTCTGACCTGTGCATCTTGAGACCGCCTTTCGTCCAGCCGTGCCGTCAGAATGGCCACATGCTGCTCCAAATCTCGGTTCCTCTCCTCCAGCGTTTGCCCTCCAGCTGCTCCCCTTGGGTGCCTGCTTCTCCGGGCTTGCTCATGATGCTGCCTGCCTGCTGCTGCGCACGAGCAACTTTCAGGGACTGACGGATTGCTGTAATGAGTATGAGTTACTCGTGCGTAAACTGGTGCCTCTCTAGGCTGATTTGCCTTGTTAAACCTTTCTGACTGCACAGCCCCTTCTGATCATGACTGTCTCAGTCACTAGCAGAATCCGTCAGTGGGCGTTTCTTGAATCTCTTCCAACATAAGAGTTGTTTGACACCCAATCGCCTCCGCCTCTCACTGCGCGGGAGCCTTCTGCGCAGGGTGGGCGTGGGTAGCGGGGGACCTGTCCCCTCCTCACTGAGTTCCAGTGAAGAGTCCGTGAGCCCTCTCTCCGATTTTCCCATCTGCTCACTTTTGTTCCTGGTGTTGCGCTTAAATGCTTCCCCCTCCACTGAGTCGCCTCTCCCCCTGCTGCTGGGTCCTTCTCCAGCATCATCCAGGAGCCTCCCCTTCGCCTCTCGCTCTGATGTCAGTTCCCTGACATCACCCTAGAAGCTATAGTTCTTATTTCTATGCGCCATGCTTGCAAGTAAGTGCTCTGTGAGCCTGGCATGTGGAATGATGTCTTATAGTGCAAGCCCATTTTATTTTCCTATAGGAACTGGGATGATTTGCGTGTTTACTGAGTCGCATTGGTAGAAATAGTGTCATCTTGGTAAAGCTAGTTGTGTCCAAGTGCGGCCAGTGTCCAAACAGAAGACTGCTCTGCAAGCTCATTTCAACATAGCAGAAAAAGGAAGAACAGTTTACATGAGAGTCCTGGGCAATCTTCCACCACCAACACTAATATCCATTTCTAGCATCCACAGGGTTTCACCGCCTTTGTAAGTGAGACATTAGGCAAGGTAGAACAAACAGCAATTATATTAGTTAATGTGCAGCTTAAATTTGGAAAACACAACAAGAAGGGGATATGTGCAGGCAAAATTCAATGGCGTTTGTAGCCTTATAAAGATGATCTAGTATTCTAAACTGTTGACATTTTATTGTATGCATCTGAGTCTTCTCAGCATGGTCAATAGGCATTAAGTCATGCCTACTGACTTCATTCAATTAACAAAATGGGGAATTTAATCCATAGAACCTTATGGTATTATATAACATTACATATTCCAAAACATAAACCTGAATGGCATGTGATTTGAATGCTATTATAAAAATCAAAGGGTGATACCTAATGACTGAGACGGATATCACCCTAGTTGGTCAGAAACTCAACTCATTCACTATCAAGATTTGATGAATACTTGTATTACAGTGGATTTTATGTTAAATGAACGATGAGCTAGAAAAGGCTTATGTGATGCAATCTGTCAAAAAGCCCACTAGATGGCAATATTATTTACCTTTAGCCAAACAGAGAAACATACCAAGTTTGTTGGATACTGCAAAGTGTTCCCCAGCTTTCAAAGGAAAGGAGAACAGAACAGACCCTGCTAGGGCTGAGCTGAAGTTTGGAATGGTTTTTGCTAACATTTTCAGCCATATCAAAACATGTGGGGTTTATTTGGAGGCTGCATTAAGAATGGGTGAACGTGTTCTGGCTCTTCCTCTCAGTGACATCAGCATATAAGCCAAGTCCAACTGACTGCATCGAGCTGTGATGTCATTCTGTGCACTATGTGTTCCCTGACTGACTGTGATCACAACCAATCCAAGAGCCAATGAAATCTAGTTGGCTACAGATAGTTCTGATGTCAGCCTGACTATTAAATGATACCTGACCTAACGGTAGTGCTGATGTGATTGAGGAAGATGATGCAGCAATAAAAAAGGGGGGGTGGGAGTGGAAGCAATGTGACGGCAAAGAAACCAAACTACAGCAGCATCCATGCCTGAAAAAAGGCAACATTTTTCACAACAGAGGGGTATTCCTTTCAACCCCAAGATTCAAAGTAGAACATTCAGAGGAGCCCTAGATCCTACTAGGAAACGATTTATAATCTGTGACGTTCTGCCTTACAGTCTGTAAACAATACAGAAACAGAAGCCACACACCTTTTTATGTACGTGAACTGTGTGCACGAAAGGACAAAGATATTCTGTATGTTTTGTATGTCTTCTTTATTGTAGCACTTGCATGAAATCCAAATCCAAAGGAAATTCATCCTGAGAAGACTGCGTGTATAAAACTGTGATTCACAATGAACAATCTTTGCTAAATCATATTTGCCGCTGCCACAGCTGGCTGCCAGTTTATACTAACTGCGTCAACCCAGTTTGCGTTTTCTATTAACAACAATGATTACCTACTTCCAGTATTTACCCAGCAGAATTACACATAAGCTCAGTGGCTCCACTGCCTTCACACGGGTATGTTGTGAGGATGCAAAATGACCTTTCAGCCAACTTTTACTTCATTACTCCCATTTTTGTAAACTACAGTATCACGAACTGCAATGAAAGGTCACTTCAGTTGTTTCTCTATCTGTTGTCTTCAACTATTATGGTTCTTCTAGGGTAGACCTCAATATCCACAAATATATAACGATACTCGTATTTTCCACTTTCTGGATTCTGCAAAGAGAGGGGGTGGGAATTAATTTCTTTGTACACACTAACCTAAGCATTAAGATTATGGTTGATGTAGATCACAGAGGCTGTCATACCTCTTTCACTTCCAGATGAACTGTTCCCTGCTTTCCTTTTTCTGAGCCCTCAATGTAAAACTTTAGGCGCATGTATTTCAGTCCATCTTTTACATACTCAATGTGGCTAAAAAAAAAAAGAGAGGAAAGGTTTCGCAAGCCCTGAATGTTAATGCCAGAAAAATTAATAGTTATACACTATAATTCTAAGAAACAAAAACTTTACATGGACAATCTTGTCTTAGTTCCAGAATTCAATTAAACTTGTCTGGTTACGGTTACACTTGGACCACCCTGTCTGAAAGCTTCCTAACCCACAAACAAGTGAATTGGGTCTAAAACTCAATTTACATCTGATCCTGAGCGTGTTTGCTCAGAAGGAAGTCCAAGGGTGCACACACAGGATAGTGGCCATAAATACGGAACCAAACAACATCATGAGTCATTTCCATTAATTTCAATGGGTCTACTCTTGAGTATGTCTAATGCTAGACACAACCCAATGAGATTAATCCTAGGCGTGAAGCAACTTTGAGAACATACTAACAAGGGGCAGCCAACATGATACACTCCAGATGCCACTGGACTACAACTCCCATCATCCCTGACCAATGGCCACTCTAGCTAGGGCTAGTAGTAGTTGGCTAGTAGTAGTTGGGAGTCCAGCAACATCTGGAGGGCACCATGTCAGCTATTCCTATGTTAAACCATGGTTTAGCATAATGTACATGGATAATAATGAGCTGTAGTGACCTTAGGCTTGCATGCTACCCCCTATCCTCCCACAGAGCCAAGAGGAGTAATTAGGAAGCACTTGATTTTGCTTTTGGTTAATCCTGGTTTGCTATGTTACCTGAAGGGGCAAATCCTGGCTAACACCCACTATGGTTAATTTTAAACAAGCTAACTTCATTTTTAAAAAAATAATATTTATTGATTTTCCAACCATTTAAACACAATAAAACAGAAAAATCAAAAAAGGAAAAGCAAAAGCAAAGAAAAAGCAAAGAAAAGAAAAAAACAAAAACATAAGATTAACAAAATAAGACGCAAACCATTTAAAACACAAAACAATTTCAGTATCTTAACTTTCATTCCCTTATTTCCACGACCTCCTCACACCTCCCTTTTTGTATTTCACTTCTATTAATTGTTTCAGCAATTCCTTTCCATCTTCCTCTGTTTTCTATCCTATAATTATCTTAACATATTCTAATCTTATTTTTCCCTTTAATACTCTATTAGTCTATTTATACTTAATTCCTTATAGCATTTCTACTAAAGCCATATAACTTCATTCCAACATTTTTCTAACATTCATTATTTTTACAATATTTCTATAAATAGTCTTAAACTTTTTCCAGTCTTCTTCCACCGTCTCTTCTCCCTGGTCTCGGATTTCTGCCAGTCGTTTCTGCCAATTCCATATAGGCCATCAACTTCATCTGCCATTCTTCCCGGATAGATAAATCTTGTGTCTTCCAGTACTTCACAATGAGTATTCTTGCTGCTATTGTTACATACGTGAAAAGAGTTCTATCCTTCTTTAACACCAATTAGCCGACCATGCCCAGGAGAAAGACCTCTGGTTTCTTCAAAAAGGTATATTTAAATACCTTTTTCATTTCATTATGAATCATCTCCCAAAGTGTCTTAATCCTTGGGCATGTCCACCAAAGGTGAACTCTAATCCTCAAATTTGTCTGTTTTTCTTTAAGTTCAGTCATAGCAAGCATCAACTTATATTCATCAAGTTGCTTCTGTAGGGCTGGGGCTCTCTTGCTCTTTCTCTCCAGTTGTGTTTCTTTACATTCAGCAACAACAGCTTTTTCCCTGGCCTCCTCTGCAGTTTGCCGTATCGAAATAGGTTTCTGTGTCAATTTCTGGGTAGTTTCTGTATTAGTATTATTTATACTTTCTATATTTAAGTTAATTTTAATGATTGAAACATCCACTTTCGCATTTATCGTGTCCATTTTCCTGTGAAGCTGATCCAATGAATCATTTATCTTAAATAATGCAGCCACTAGAGCCTCTTCTGTCAACATTTCTCTTGGTTTTACATATACTGGTACAAAGGCAACAAAAAAAAGCAGGGGGGCCTGATGGTGTAAACAAGCTAACTTCAAACCATGTGTTGTGAAGCTGGGTAGTTGAAGCTAGCCATCATTTCATAACTAACCATTACCTCCAATTCCAGATCCAGACATCGCAAGCAACTGTGGTTAACTGAAAAAAGGAGCTAAAGTCCTTCTTTTCAGCCAGGCAAGAGGAGGAAAAGGAGAAGCATGAGCCTGAGGTTCATGCGGATCATGCGAAACCATGTGAATGAAGCCACTGTGTTGGATGAGCATAGTCTGCTCCCATGACCAGCTGGTACCCGAATGAAGTTCTTCTGCCTGGTGGAGGAATCATGTCCCACCTCAAGAGTAACAATCGTGGATATAGTATTCTGAGTGTTGCTGTGGCACATCTGTGTCAAATTCATGTACAATAGGTACACAAAGCTCCATGCGGGAGTAAGATGGACCAGTGTCCCTTCAGCATCCTTGTTATTCAGCATAAATGTATGCTGGCAATCGATGTGACTAAGAAGGTTTCTTGGCTATCAGGTGCATTTGCAAGGGTTATTGTAGGCCTCAAATTCAAGCTGCTAGCCTAGGCCCCAAGGTAGTTTCCCTTTTACCTTCTTGGCAAGACAAGTGAATATGACATGTGTCAAGTGAGATGAACAGAGTAAGTAACAAATCCACAGAGAATGTTAGCAGAAAGAGAGCCAGTGCTTCTGTAAGCGATGCGTTCACAGGTACCTGACCAGTTGTCTTCTCCCGCGGCGCGTTGCTTCACCGTAACCTTTTATGGGTTCACCAAAAACACCTATTACCTAATCAGTAAGGACAGGATAGGGTGCTTAGTAGTTCGTCTCCTATCAAACCCTAGGTGCACAGTTCCCTCAGTTTAATCAGCAATACTATACGACCTTCTTCAACACATTACCTAGAGAGGTGGTGATCTCTCTCTCTCTCCCTCTCTCTGGAAATCTTCAAGCAGAAGCTGCACAGCTGTCTGCTGGGAATGGTCTAGTGCCAGATTTCCTGGGCTCAGCTAGGAGTGGATGGCCTACAAGACCACACCCAACTCTTATGATACACTGAAAGCTCACCCACTATCACTGATCTTTCCCTGAAGCATGCAGCAGCAGGAAATGTTAGAAATGTTCTAGGATGCCTTTCCAGGGCAGCGGTGCATGGGCTAGTCAGTACCCAATGCAAAGTGAGTGACCGTCCCTCAAAAGATGCCTCAGAATTCTCTGTAATGTGCTAGGGCTCTGTGGTAAGGAGAACATTCAAGACTTGAAAACAAACCTCAGGGTGAGCTCTGCATTTCTCCAGGGCATCTCCATAGATTTTACTGGGGCTGGAGGAAGAGAACAACTCCTTAAAAATCACATAGAATAAACCACCTGAAATGGGAGAGGAAAAATAAAATGCAGGTGAACTAAGAACCTTTCTGCTGAAGTGGTCAACAATTAAAACAGTGAGGAATATGTTTTCCCCTGTCTCAACAACCTGTGACACCGATGCCGATCACCACCACTATTAAGTAGGTGAAATCTCGCCCAGCTTCTTTCACTGAAAGAGAAAACAAGACCAAAAAAATAAAAATTACGAAACGGTAGTTATACATTATCAGTCTCCTATAGCTCTGTTGGTTAGAGCAAGGTTTCTCAACCTTTTTCCGACCGTGCCCCCCTTCCAACCTTGTTTCCTTCCTGTGTCCCCCTCATGGTTGTAGCCAAGGGGGGGGGGCAGCTGCCCCCAGTAAGTAAAAACCAATACAAATCAATGCAAATCTGAGGTTCTGCCCCCTAACAAAAATCTTGGCTACGCCCATGTCCCCCCCCCCGGTAGAAAGATAGCTATATATATATATATATATTGTAAATAGAAAATGTTTATTTAATTTTTTAAATAATTTACACAAAATACAATGACATAAAATGATAGGAACATAATGAAATATTGTTGAAGCAGAAAAACATAGAATCATAGAGCTGGAAGGGACCCCAGGGGACTAGATGATCCTCAGGGTCCCTTCCAACTCTACAATTCTACAACCACAAACTACGTTGTTGTCTTACGCACATATATCCAATAGCTCCTAAATGCTTCCTCTAAAATTGAGAAAGATAAAAGACTGAGTCAAAACAGCTTTTGCTTTCAGAATAATGGAACATTAAAAGGATTTTACATCTCTTCTAACCCCTAAAGTCCTCATCCCCGCTCTTTCCATGGGAAATTTAGTGATGGTTTGCTGTCAAGGAACAGCCAGGGTGTTTAACCTGTGCCCCCCCCCCCCAATATGTTGTTCGACTCCAACTTCCCTCAGCATCAGCCTGCATAGCCAATGGTAAGAGATGATGGAAATTGTAGCCCCACAACATCTTGGAGGGCCACAGGTTAGCTGAACAGGTTTTGCTTTCACAAGGTCTATTTAGGCTAGATTTTACAAGACTTTCAGTGGCTTTTTAGTATTAATTGAGAGTTATTATTTATGCAACACGTATTTAATTTATTATAATTATTATTTAAACAGCTTTTAACAATGGACAAGTGATGTATACATATTTTAATAAAATAAGCAACAAATTATTTCATTTCTCATTCTCAAGAAGTACTCTCACAGCTCAGCAGAGAGCCCCAGCGCAGAACTTGAGAATTACTAGAGTGGATACAGTGATTACGGCATTTGTTTTTGATCCAATTTGCGTTGCCTTCATGCTCAGGGGCACTGGGGCAACTTGTTCTCTCACCATCGATTCTCTGCTGGTTTCAAACACCAATGATCCATTCCTTTTTGTTATTAGTAACAACCATGTTTATGACTGTCGTACTCATGCTGTAAAATCATTAAAAATACTTCAGCCATACTTTAGTCAATATTGGACCAAATCCTTTTGGACTAGTCAAGGGCCCAATTCTAGCCTGTCTCCAGCTTCAATTGTCTCCCACCACTCAACCTTTCACATGCTAAGCTAAAGTTGAATAAAGATTGTGGAGAAATCTTCCAAAACAGTTTTTTTAAAAAATGCTATAGCCAATTGCATATATAGCAGCCAATTTTATGCCTTCGTTCATTAAATCCAGCCAGGCTTTTAATTTTTATGAAATGCCTTACAAAATAGATTATTGTTCTTATGGTTGAATGGGAAACCCATAAAAATGTAAAAATGATCAATGAAGTGCTTTATGCATAACATTAAAAACTCCAAACATATAAATAATGCAGTGAGCACAATGTATTTAAATGGTAGAACAAATACACTGATATTTACAGGAAGGTTCTGTGAAGAGTTAGGCATGGAGTCCTTTGAAATCAAGGGCTTTGCACAGGAAACTCTGCATAAGATTGCTGCCTGACGAACTCATGAGGCCCAAGCCATAGTCCTGTCACACATTCTAGGTAAAGGTAAAGGGACCCCTGACCATTAGGTCCAGTCATGGCCGACTCTGGGGTTGCGGCGCTCATCTCGCTTTATTGGCCGAGGGAGCCGGTGTACAGCTTCCAGGTCATGTGGCCAGCATGACTAAGCTGCTTCTGGCGAACCAGAGCAGCACACGGAAACGCAGTTTACCTTCCCGCCGGAGCGGTACCTATTTATCTACTTGCACTTTGACGTGCTTTCGAACTGCTAGGTTGGCAGGAGCTGGGACTGAGCAATGGGAGCTCACCCCGTGGCGGGGATTTGAACTGCCGACCTTCTGATCGGCAAGTCCTAGGCTCTGTGGTTTAACCCACAGCCTCACCTGCGTCCCTGGGTCACACATTCTAATTAGGTGCTAATTGAACATCCATCATACAAGAGTCTATTTGTAGGGATGAGTGTGCTAGCACTGCTGCCCCTATTGCCATTCCATGGAGTGACACTATGAACTGGGGAACCTCCTGCAGTCATGGAGGCTCCCAGTGACGGATCCTGGGGTCTCAAATTTCAGCAGTTCCCTGTGTGATGCCAAAATTTTGCACCCCCTGCCTCTTGTGCTCTATTCTAAATCACAGTTGCGGCACTGAGTCTCCGCACCCACTGCAACGGAACCAGTTGCGCTCCCCTAAATCCGTCCCTGAGGCTCGCCACTCATTTTAGAACTCCCTTCCCATATTAACACCTTCCCATATTAACAAATAATGAGAATGCCTGAAAAGCATTATCTGTGCACTAGTTCTGAACGCTGTTGGTGGCATTCAAACCACAATGACTTGCAACTGCTTGAATGTCTAGGTGTTTTCACAGAATAACTTAATTTTTGAAAAGAGAAATAGCTGCAACGACACTAAACCCAGGATGTAAATAAATAATCACTCCCTGGCTTGCCAGTGGCAAAAAATTATCAGCTATGGTGCAGCAGGTTAGGAAGCTTTGTATGCCCGAGAAGGACTGTTCATCCATATGGCACGAATAACTGACACAGGATCTTGTACATTAATGAGTTATAAGTTCTGATGAAGATTCCATAATTCCGGGGTTCTTGAAAAGAGTTCTGGGCTAGGTGGGCCTTGCTATGGTCCACCAAAGCACTTCTTATGTTAAGAAGCACAAGCACATATTCAAGATCACTTGATTTGTTGTGTGCTAATTGTCAAGAGATCTTGGGAACACACTCTAGCTTTGTAAATGTAAAAAAAAACAACTTGTGGATCACAGGGATTCCAGAAAAAAACATAAGTAGACCACATAATACTGCAATCAGCCCACCATGGTCTTAGAGCATGCACAGACACCCTCTCATAGGAAGCAATCACAGCCAGCTTGGTGAAAGGACTCCTGAAGCAGAAAACCCCACTTCCACACAAATCTGAGTGCTGGGCAACCTCTATTATAAATCAAATACATTGTACCACACTCAGGGTTGGCCCAAGATACTTTGCTCCCTGAGGCAGAACAGCAAATGGTGCCCCCTGTTCCAAACCAAGGTGCATGATATCCAAGGCTAATCAAGTTATTGGGTCATATGAGACAGAATGCTTACAAGCATCTCTCCCTTAAATGTAAAAACACAATAATAAGAAAACAACACTTTGCTGCCCTTCCATGATAGCCAAAATCAGTTGCCCAAGGCAGTCTCACTCTGCCTATCCCATTCATCAACGGGCCTCCAGTCAAACAACTGTCGAACATTGTCTCAGAAACAAATCCCCAAATAATCTGAGATCCCAGTAGAACATGAGACTCTTGATCTCAGGGTTGTGGGTTCAAGCCCCACATTGGGCAAAATATTCCTGCTTTGCAGGGAATTGTCTAGATGACCCTTGTGGTCCCTCCCAACTCTACAATTCTATGAGCAGTACAATCCTAGCTAGGTCTACTCAGATGTAAGTCCTGCTGAATTTAATGGCGGCTGACTCCCAGGTAAGTAGGGTTAGGACAACAGTGCAAGTTATGTAGAATATTTCAGATTATGGACTGAAAAAACACCACTAGGCTCAACAGAAACACGTCTATATATATGCAGATATGCCTAAAAAGTTGGAGAACTGCAGTAGTTTGGGAAACGAATTTTACTTGCCAAGAAATCTTGGCAGTTGCTGGAGCCTCCCGTTCCTTACCTTTCTGAGCAGCTGACAACGATGCTTCTTCTTTCTGGCCTCTTTGCACAGACACTTGCCTGCCGCTGTTTTCAGTTCTCCCAGCTCTCCGGGCCCCTTCGGGAGTCCAGATGTGTCGCTTTGCGCTCGCAAATGCTGCATCAGGACGCGGGGCGGATCGCTCGGCTCTCGACCCTTGCCCGAGCCTGATGCACACGAAAGTCCTTAGAAGCGCCTTCCTATGCTGTGCAAGGAGCCCCCATTTCGCGCAGGACCCCAGGAGCTTGCCACTGCAGGGGATTCCTCGCATGAAAGAAAGCATAGCGAGGCGAAGCAAGGCTTCACTCTATAACCCCAAATACAAGGTCTATCATACACTAAATATGCTCCCGTCCTGTGTAAAGGATCGAATTCATCGTCCCGCAGTTTCCTCTCGATGCAAAATAGCCATACCGTTAGAAAGATACATCTTACTCAAATCTTTCCGCCGGGCTTTTACCTGTTGATGCACTTTTAACAAGCCCAAGGGGGACACGACCCCTTCACTCGCTGATGGCAGCTATTTGCCCCGCCATTGCGTTTGCAAAGCCCTCTGGGAACTGTAGTTTGCAGGGTAGCCGAGCTGCCCGACTACTCCGGTAAAGTACTACAACTACCACAATGCAAAGCGCCTCGCGCCTAGCCTCGCTGCTCAGAACTATATTGTCAGAAGCCTCCTCCTTCCCGAAAGCGTCTGTCTCTATATTGAGCGTACGTGCTCTGGGACCAGTCCACCCTTTATCGTTTGCATAATAAATAAAAGGTTAGGTTCGTGCTGCATGCATTGCTCAGAAATAATTATTTGCCCTTTAAGCTGGTTCTGTAAAACTTCATAGGGCTATCTTCAAATAAGCACTAGCCCGCCATCTGAGAAGGTCAGACTCGTGGTGTGCAAGCATTATGTGTGCAGACGTCTGCGAGAAAGACGCGTGCACTACCGTCAACTCAGAATGGCGCAGCTTTCGTGTGCAAGAAGCAAACCTGTATTTGGGCTGCGGATGGAGCTCGCTCACGTGGTAGAATGCCCCCCCCCAAACTGTGCCCGGCATAAGGAAAGCTAGCAATCCTATACATTTATCTAATAAATCAGTTCTACTGAATTCAACGGGGTTTAACTCCCAGGCAACAGGAAATAATCTAGCTGGGCCTTCTCCTTTATTTTGGCAACAGGCGACCCCGCCCTACGCGCGTTCGTCTCGCCACGACCCGCCCCTTAGATACTCTACATTGACCCAAGTGCGGGAAGGAAGCTGCTTGTGGGGAATAAATTCAGGAGCGCCGGCGGAAGAATTCTGCCCGGGGCTACTTTTTGTTCGGCTTCGTCGCGTTCTTTGCAGACGCGCTCGCGGCCTTGACTGGGCGGTAGCGAAGGACCATCCCACCCCCGCCCCGTTTCGACGGACGTCGCCATGGCGACAGGACGCGGTTGGATTCTGAGGCAGCACAGCTTAGGGGTTTCGCGCCCGTTGTCCGACGCGATCCCTTCTCCCGGCGTCGACTCGCGGTCGCCATTCTTAGTCGCTCCTTCAGGCGCTACTGCTGGGGTGGGTGGGGGATCACGGGGCGTCTTGTTTGAACGCCCTAAACCCAGATCCCCCGGTGCCTTTCTTGAGTCTCACAGTTTTAGGCAGGTTTACTCGCTTTCTCTCACAGAATATACAGCCTAAGTCTTTATGTCACTGGAAAAGTGTGTGTGTGTGTGTTTGAGGGGGCGCTTACCTGTTTTTCTGCTTGTTATGTGCCCATTATGTGTCCCTTTTAAGCTGATTGGTAGTGTTGCTGTTTCATTCTTGAATTTGACTCCTTTTTTAGGAGGAATTGTAGTACAGTGGTACCTTGGTTTGCATATGTTTTGGATTACAAACATGTCAAACCTGGAAGTTTGCAACCTTTTCTTTGCAACCTTTTTTTGGATTACAACCCATTGTTTTGGATTACGAACAAATTTTTTTTGGAGGCCCCATTGGCGAAAGCGCACCTTGGGTTACAACCTGTTTTGGTTTACAAACAGACCTCTGAAACGGATTATGGTTGTAAACCAGGGTACCACTGTAATATGATGTAGCGACTCATCCATAAATACTCCTGGGTTGGTTTTCAGACCAAAACCATGCTGAACAACACCAGCACGACAACATAATTACAATAAAAAAGAAAGATGGTAGAGAAAACGTTAAACAGCCTATGCTTAACACTTTTTCAAGTGTTGCAAACCTTGGGCCACAATCCTGTACTCGCTTGGGAGGAAGACTCATTTAATTTGGTGGGATTTATAAGAGTTTATAAGAGGGCAAGAACATGAAAAACCCAACGAACAACAGTGAACAAATAATTTTGCAAGCTTATTGGGCTGTATTCCCCTCGCTGGCAATCTTCTGGGGACCCAGTGGTGGGAGTGGACAGAGGTAAAAGTGAGTGGAGCAACAGGTGATTTTTTACCTTTGGATAGTATGCGACTTTCTACCTAAAAGTTAGATTTCTATATACACCCATCGAATCTTTCCATCCAGGCAGGCAAGAGGCATCATCACAGTACAGTTCAAGGATGCATTCCAGCCTGGCCAAAATCACTCAAGGAGGGCATGAAATAGGGCTGGTGAGAACTGTGGCCTGGGACTAAAGACCTGAGAGAGAGGTTTGGAGGATCACATTTGACCTTGGGCCTAAGGTTCCTACCCCTGATGATGATGATGATAATAATATGTGTTGTTTTTTATAGTGCTATGTCGGAATACCCAGCAGCCATGCAACTCAAAAAGACACACACTCGCAGGATGTGTACGAGGTCTACTAGTATCAAGTCAAATTCTGCAATTGATTTTGACAGGTAACATACTCTTGATGCTTTACAGATGCATGCTTACCTTGTATGTAAATCTCACTGAATTCAGTTGTACTTATTCACTAGCAAGCATGCTTAGGATTTTAGACAAGTATTTATCTTTTAAATACTTAGCTGGACATTTATGATTTCAAGAGCTGGTTTAATTGTAAACATGTCTTGGTGTGTAACCACAGATTCTTTCACATGACCCTGAAGGTAAACTGAATTCTTTTGGTGATTGTACATTAAAAATGCTAAATTAATTTTGTGTAGCTGAACAGCTCATGGCAGTGTCATCCCTAATAATGAATCGTATATTTTCATAATAACAACGAGGCTTGTACCACTTCATAAATGAGGGTAGAAATGTGGAAGCTGCTGAGAAACCTATATGTGTGGTTGAGGCTCAGTGTAGTAGTCATAATGTATGAAATGAAATTGGTCATCCTATGTACAGTGTGGATCAGTGCTACATGATGCAGACAGCTGAGACCTATTCAAGTGTTTTAATTTATCACATGATGAGAGACAGTGGGGATGAGCATCCCTATCACCCTACATGAATTGGAGGGATAACTTCTGGGGTGAGGAGCCTTTTCTACTCAAGTAGGTCCCCTATGTAATTTATAACCCTGAGTTCATGTTATGACGCCTATATTAATAGAACAGACTCTGTTACAAATGTTTGCCTCCAACTTGGGGAGGTTGACAGGGATAGACACCATAGAGTTAGAGCTAGTGTGCTTGTCATATTTCCCCTCACACAATAGGGACCTTTTCTGCACCGACATAGACACCTTCCATGGAACAGTGCTGATCCATGTTGTGAACTGTTGGTATATATTTCCACCTGCTAAAACTCTTGTGGACTTCTGTGTGCAAGCAGGAGTGACACTAATTCTATCACTAGAATGAAAAGTTTTCCCACTTAAATTCCTTTAAATGAGTGAGAGATGCCCATTGTGCCCTAAATTACATTTACCTTCTTCATATTATGTTTGTGTGTGATGATGGAATTCTACAGGTTATTTCTGCTTTTGTTTTCACGTAGACAGATTTTTGTGTTCCAGATTTATGAAGCAGGGATAGATTTCATTCTGATATATGCTGCTGCATGTTTCTTCCACTCAAATAACTGCATCACTTTTTCATCTTCATCCTCCAGAATGCCATCAGAGATACTACTGAAGATATTATCCTACCTGAATGCAGAGTCACTGCTGTGTACTGGCTGCGTGAATAAAAGTTTTTATCATCTGTCCAATGACAAGTAAGGGACAGTAAAATATAGCCAGAGGTTTTTAACATGACAGTAGTCATTATAATCTAATTTATATTATCCCTTTATGTTTGGTCATTGGGAGAAAGCAAGCAAGTACAACTTACTGTACTAATTTTTTCTCATCGTTACAGCAGTTTACATGAAAGAACTTATATAGTGTTATTAAGCTATGCGGAAGTTTGAATCAGTCTGAATGTGATTTGTCCCAGTTTGGGGAATAAAGCAAGTGCTGCCCTGCATCAGAAACACCTCTGCTTCATCTACTGTTTTGAGAACTGTTATGGTAGAAATATGGTATATAAATATTGTAAAGAAATACTACACATTTACATGCTCATAATATTTTGTATATATTTTCTGTATACTGTAGTACTCCCCCTTCCCATCATTGGCCTTGAGGATGTGGTTTGAAAAAGGATTAAGGATAATAAGTGAATAAAAATATAATAGTAAACAAGGACACATGTGTATGCCAGTAAACTTTTGTTAGGTCTATAAATATCAGATGTTTAACTGCTTTTTAGGCACTTATTTCCCCTCCGTGCATCAGAAAAAATTGCCTTAGTAATTCTTGGCCACTGGGTGTGCAGGGAGGTTATACTTAACAGTAATTATGTATGTGCCATTTGGATCTTAGTGGCTCCCAAGTTGTTCTGGGTACAATTCAAAATACAAACCAGCTTAGACACTTGGGCCTTTTTACAGGTGCTGCTATGAAAGTAGTGTTGTTTGATGTTGGATTGGCTGGCAGAAGACACGGGGGATTCCCTTTGATATAATTTGTTAAGAAACTGTTGGGGTTTTTAATTTAGTTTCTTAGGTGGTCACCTAATATCTTATTCTAAGGAATCCAGAACAATCATAAATAATTTGTAGTCATTTATGCTCTTTTAATATTGATTATATTGATTGTGTTTGTTAGCTTTTCAATTGTTGATGACTGTCTTGAGACTTGTTTTGAAGGATGGTGGGATAAAAATTGAGTCTATGAATAAATAATGTTGTGCGCTTATCATCCAATAGTCAATTTTAGTGTTAATTTTAGTCTAACATTAATAGAGAATGACATAAAGCTGGATCATGAGTGCTAATTAACAAAATTTGTAGCAGTTCAGCTACATTAAGATCATTCAAAGTGTTGGCATTTTTTTGGTAGAAGATAGAATCTGCCTCCTGATACTTAATGATGGCTTAAACATTATCTCAGAACAGCATGCTCTTTAAATATTTCAGTGATTCTTATGTTATTTTATGTTGTATTTTTCTCCAGTACAATCTGGTTCAAAATATATTCTAAGTCTTTTCTGCCTAAAAGAAAAAAATGGAGGACTGAATCTGCCCAGGAATCAGCTGTCTCTCTGAATCTTCCAGAGTTGCAAGATAGAGAGTCAGGATATTGGAAGAAAGAGTACATCATGAAAAAAAAAGCTGCTGGCAAAGCTGATCTGATTCAGCTTCTGAAGCCAATAAATGCCTGTACTGGCCTTCCACTGAAAACCAAAGAAGCTATCAAGTGAGCAGTTTTATATAATGTGTAATACATGGACATTTTAAATATTTTAATGACTATCTATTTTCTTTGTGAGTAAAGGAAGAAAAAAATGGATCATTTGATAAATATATGTAAAATTGATACTATGATTAATATTTAGTTACCAGGTAGGAAGTTAATAAAATTGAAAGAATATAGATAATTTTGTTAGCTTTGGATTTTGTTTGTAGAGCATGTTTTGGAGAAAACAAATAGGTTCTGTTTTAGAAACAAAGGGGGAAATGTGGCTCTCTTCTATGAAATTCCAAGCATTTTGATTATAGTTAATTTTAATGTTCTTTATCTGTATGTAGAAGTGACACTCTAAGGGAGCAATCCTACAGCAAGATCAACTGCGATGAGCAGATCCAGAAGCTCTCTGGATGAGTCAGGAGGTTCCCAGTACAGCCAGGCTACACTGACTTAACTCCATCATCCTCAGCGCAGCCAGAGATATACTGACATATCCCTCCCATCCTGGCTTAGCTAGGACCCTCCAGCTGAGACATGCCTGGTGGACTAAACAGAGAGGATTTAGGCTCGATCCTAAGCTCACCCACCTTGGTCATGTGACCTGACAGCCCAGTGTAAATTAAACCAGCTAACAGGGTAGTGTAACTCAAACAGTATTTTATAGACTGGCTCAGCCAGCAGTAGCCTTGCTGTGGAGTTTGGATCTGTTGTACTTTACACCAGTTTAACTGATGCCGGGCTTGCTTAGGATTGTTACCTTAAACTTTGCACTCTGCCTTTTGCTTTCCCAATAACAGGATTTCTGGTTTAAAATGGATGGTCATACTAAAGGACAGAAATGGAAAGCAACATGTGCTGGAACAGACAGAAATCTCTTATAATGAGACATCTGTTACTGTGTATTGGAATTATTTAAAGTGGCCTTGTTTAGACACTTTGTCAGGTTTGCAGATATTTGGAGTGACACCTATACTTCTAAGTGACAGCGAAGTTCATCCTAAGAATAGGTAAGTTAATTCTTTAATTGTGCAATCCTCACCACATCTACTCAGAAGTAAGTCCTGTTGAATTCAGTGGATCTTACTTCTGGATGATGGGGGCTAGGATTGCCACCCAACTTGTGTTCTTAGCATATTGAGCAGTGGTTGCTTGCTGAAGCTTCCTGATGAATAATTTGTTTTCAATTTTTTTAGAATTCTTATCTTCCACTGCTTGTAGTAGAAGGACATTTACCACAGCACTGTACTTTGCAAATCAGTTACCAACCAGTGACAGTCAATTGTGATGTAGTAGCAGACAGTAATATAGTCCAGGGTCATGTTAAGTTCCATATGCAGTGTGTTCTGGACTAACATACCTAACACAGAAGGCAAAGAGATGTATGCATACAGCTATTTATCATAGCAGTATGGTGATTGCTTATTATTGCTTGCTTAGGAGATTTCTGAATCCATGGATTTGGCATCAGACGGTGATTGATTCCAGTGTTCCTCATGTCCTCCATGTACACATTGCTTGTGCAATAAGAAAACAAGCACAGAAAATGGCTAACCTGTCGCCCTTCGGATGTTGTTGGATTATATCTCCCTTGATTATCGGCAATGCTGCCTGTGGCTGAGGAAAGGTGTAGTCCAGCAACATTGGGAGGCCATAGGTTGGACAACCCTGCCTTAGACTTTGAAGCTGGAGGGGACAGGAGTTGACACCCAACAAAGGGGAAGTTGGAAACCCCTTCAGTAATAGTTGCAGTATTGTTCTTATAATTTGTTCCAAAAACAAGTTATGTGCAATAGCTTTTTAGTTGATTATGTCAGCGTTTTGGAAAAGACAAAAACTAATCAAACTTCCATATTAACAATACCTGTTCTTTTCTTAACTAACTCGATGTCTCTTGAAAGGCCTTTGCAACGTTCTTTAATTTCTGAATATGATCTGGCTAACATGACAGAAAATGCAAAGATGATTGGCTGTGATGCCCTTGTTGAACTTTACTGTTTTGATCAAGGACTCTTGGTGGGAGTTTGGAAGGTAAGATTACTCCCCCAATAGGATGCTTTCTGCAGTGGCTCTTATTTTGTTTTCTTATATGTAAACTTACATATCCCCCTTTACAAGTTGAAAACAATACTGCAGGTCATAAAACCTAAACTAGTTTCAAGTTTCTTATTCCATATGCTAATTAGCTGTTAAGGCTTTGTTTTAAGATTATTCATTTCTTTATTTTCTGCCTTCTTTATCTGTTATTTGGTTAATAGTATGGCTCCTCCAAAATGTACTGATAAATTATACAATGTGGCTGCTGCTGAAAGGTGTATGAAGATTGTGTTATGGTAGATGGAATTACTTCTAGAAGTACAAGGAATTCAGGGACAACATGTTTCCTTATACTGGGGTTGAACAAAGCTGCTTGCCCTTCCTAGTTTTACTTTGCCATTGTAGAATAATTCTGGAAAGGTATATTTTTAATTTTCTTAATCAGGATTTCATAGAGTTCCATTTATTAAGGCAGTAGATTTTGGATCAGATTTCCAGTTTATTAACACAAAGAACTCTAGTATTTTCCTATTTTTAATTCTAATTTTCTTTTTGAGTACCAAAAAAAGGACTATCACCAGAGGGGAGAGTGCTGTTGCACTCGATTCCTATTTGTGGGCTTCCCCACAAATCTGCTGGACCACTGTGAGAACAGGATGCTGGACCAGATGGGCCTTTGGCCTAATCCAGCCAGGTTATTATGTTATTATGACACTTTGCATCCTTCAAAGGCTCCTTTTGTAGCCTGTTCGGGCGTTTAAATAATAGATGGGAACTGTGTACAGCAATTGACATGAATTGTAGTTTGTTGCTTTTAAGTTATAAAAATAGTATATTAAAATGCCAGTGATACATGGTTATAATCTGGAGTAGGACAAGTCTTTCTATGAGCTTAAATGGATTTTACTCTTCAAAAGTCCTTTTGGAAAATTAAATACTTCATGCTGAAAATATATGTTCTCTATAATTAACTTTTTAGAAAAGTGAAATTGCTTTCGTTATGGCATGTCTTCATTATCATCAGCTCATTGAAAGAAGCACCCTTGGCTCTGCCACAGTGTAAGTACCGATTTTAGTTGTCTTATGGATGCTGAGTGTAGCTCTACGACTTAAGTTCTCTTGAAACATAACTTCCCTTAAATATGATTCCTTTTCAACAAGAATGTGAATTATGTTGGGCAATGCTGGGCAGTGTTTGTAATAATTGACTTACAAAGCACAACAATCTGTGGCTTTAATGGTGCATATAAAATGTTTAATTAAATTACTTAAATTATTGAGGTTCCATTAAACATTTGCCTGATACCTTTAACTATAAATGATTATAGAGTTGAGTTTTATATACTCAGTTCTCCCATTTTCTAGAAGTGTTTTCCCTTTTATTTTGGCAGAGGATTTGAAGAAATCACCTTTTAGAATGTGTTTGTTTAATATATAATGTATTATTTGGGGGCTATGTGAAAGGTTAAGTTTGAAATAATGATTGTCTGTTGGTGGCTGGCAGTTAATTGCGTAAGACTGGTCTGAGAAAAGCTGGGTTCTTTTTATACTGAGAGGATTGTAAAATTTCACTTCTGGTTGGCTTACTGGGTAGAAATTCTAGGTCACTCATTGGACCTAAAAAGTGGTCTGAAGACACAGAATTCTATGTCACTCAAATCTGATTGATTGACAAGTAGGCTGGCTGCAACATACAAAGGCCAGTCCTATCACTGTTCAGAAATAGTGAAACTGACTGAGACTGTGAACCAGAAGAAGCAGCTGGGAGAGAAATCTGAAGTCTAGAGCTGAGACAAGTGGAAGATGGGCTATTGAGGCTAAAGAAAGCCTGGAAGTATAGTCTCCCCCATAGAGCTGAATCAATGGCTTAAGCTGAAGATTGGCAGAGAGGCTTGGTTGTTAACAGAGAGAGAGAATTCAGCAAGTTGCTTCTGGAGCTGACCAGAGAGAGAACTGCCTGCATACCCGGCTCATAGCAAACCAGCATAAGTCCTCTGTACCTGGCAGTGGAGAGAACTGAGTGACTAAGGGTATTAAGTTTGATAGGGATGGGACCTATGCTTTCCAAGTCAGTCTTATGTAAGTGTATGTATTTGCAAGCAACTGTCATTTATAAAACCTTATTTTCCCTTTATAGTTTATACATAAAGAACATCTTGGTTTTTATTTACTTAAAAGCATACCTGGCTGGTTTTGTACAATGTATAAAGCATAACGACTACCGGGTTATAGTTTAAGTATAGCTATATGGTGGCAGCTATTAGAAGAGAGTGGGAGTAAAACAGGAACCCTTCCACATATAAATCAGCAGGGGTAAATAGAAGCTGTTCTCCATATTTAAGGACAAGTGACCCTCCACAGAGAATATGTTGTCTTCTCTTCCTGCTGCTTTACAGTTTAGTGTGTACTAGAATTGAATACAAGAACGACCAAACTACTGTAACAGACATTCAAGCAAAACCAAGATGACAGTACATGGGATAACACCATATGCATTTTGAAGCTGATTTCACAAGGAAAAGTATTTTAGAAATTAATCTGTGTTACTGGGATCTTGTTATCCAGTTCAAACATGATTGAAAACTGCCAGAGAAATTCACTTACAAATATGTTTAAATCAAGGCTGTTTAAATGTGCTAATTTCTAAAGGCTGCTCAGATGACAACACAGCCTGAGTAGGAATATTTGAAGCTGAAAGTAGCTAGGAAAAATGGGAAGAAATTCACAACAAGCATTTTGTTTTATGTTTTCTTAACATATTTTTATACACTATGCCTTATTTCTTTCCTGTTCTTTGTTTCAGGAGATATGCTGCAGCCCCAGATAAGGCTATCTTGGATGATATTGACCCAGAATATGGCATGCATGGCTATCAGCTGCACATTGACTTACACAGCAGAGGAAATACTTACATGTGTGGCACATTTCGTAGTTTGTTTTGTAAAAAAGGTACTTTGAAGGCATCCTTAAGATGGTTTCTGTTGATCTAATTTTAGTATGTGTTCCTAACCACAAGAATGATCCTTCTCTGTAATTATCCCCCCCTCCAACCTGGACACATTGTCTCTTCTTGGTCTGAGTGGAGCAAGATTGCAGCTGCCTGGGGAAGCCAAGGGGATCCCTGCCCAAGGCAGGAGTTGTAGATTTCTCTGGCTGTTCCCTGGGGGCGAACAGGAAGGGACATGGACAGGAAGGGACATGAATAGGAAGGGACATGGTTATGATAGATGTGACTTTGGCCAGGTACTGCTCATTTGATAGTAGCAGTTAACTATTTTTGTTTTACACAATGGCTTCTTAGCTGACCTCTACCCCTTGATTGATTTTATTGGAACTTTTGATTGGCCTTGCAGGAAACCTTCTTGACCATTGCACATTAACAATTTAAAATTCCTTAATTGTTTGCTGCATGTATCTAATAAGTTGGAAGGATAGGCCAAGTGTTCGTCAAATAAATTATTTTCTAGAACTACTGACTGTGCCTTTCTCAGTAGAGAGAAGCTGAGTGGAGATCTCAATGTCTGACCACACCATTATTTTAGATAAGGCTTCCTCAACTTCGGCCCTCCAGATGTTTTCAGACTACAATTCCCATCATCCCTGACCACTGGTCCTGCTAGCTAGGGATAATGGGAGTTGTAGGCCAAAAACATCTGGAGGGCCGAGGTTGAGGAAGCCTGTTTTAGATATTGTTTCCTTTCTTCTCATGATCCCTCATCAAGCAGAATATTGTTCTGTTCCAATTGCTCAGGTATCAGAAAATGGTGACCAGTGCATTGGGGCTAGACTGAAGGAAATATAATAGGCAGGAGACACAGTTAACTCTATATTTTGACATTTTATATTCTCATATCTACTTATGGCAAATTCAGTTTTGTGATAATGAATCTTTTATGTAGCCAAAATGGCATCATACATGCACAAGATGGAAGCATCAGTAGGCTTGCAGAAACCTTCAGGTTTTCAGACATACAAAATAGTGCTGGAGGGGGCAACCTAGGGTTGGAAATAACTCCCAAAGCAGCCCAGTGAAAATTGAACTTTCTTTGCGGCTATCTGACTGGTGGTGGAGTAAATAATAGAGCCTGAGGAGGAGAGGACATAAAAGAACGGAAAACAGAACAGGAATGTTTCATACCGCACAGTTTCATTGTGGTTCCACTTAGTCATGTAATTCTGAGGTTGGCAATAACCTAAAAGATAAGGTAACTGTTACGATATAGAAGCAATGCAGCCGCGAGCTGGTAGCTTGAAAGCAAAACATAATGGGAATGTTGGGACTGTTCCGTGGGAAACAGAGGGACAGTCAATTCACAGTGCAGAGGGCACCGGAATTAGCTCAGAGTGTAATATGAGCTGTACAGGAAGTACAGGAGGAGTTAGTCTCTCGACTGCTGAAGCTTGAAGAGAGCAGTCATGATTTTTGTAACGCTGCAAAGACAGAAATAAAAGAATGTAAATACGTATCTGTCTATCTCTCTCCCCTGCCCGGGGGGGGCAGGAAAGAGGGTGTGTGTTCTTCTCACTCTGAGAAGGATCGCCTATCGCGACCTCTCCCTGGATCCTGCTGGGGAATGCAGACAGGGAGGTCAACAGGAGATCAAGCCGGGTGCCTGGAGAGTGGCCAGTTTCTCCTGATAAAGGCTTGATTCCCAACAGTTACATCTTAGAATATAACATGTCAGCCAAATATGCAGATGAACCTGAAACACTGTGGAAGTATCAATACTGATATTTATAATAAGAAATATTTTGGGTAAGGATGAATCAGCTGATAATCATGCAGATTAACTTCTGAAAACTTTTGACATAGACCCTCATCAAAGGTTATTAACAATTTTAATAGCTATAGCACAAAAACCATCTTCTTGGAAAATCAGTACTGTAGATGAATTGATAAAGAAACTGAAGTGGACATAAATGGTCAGTTTTCATAGTGAAGAGGGGTGATTAGTGGAATTTCTTGTTCAACTTACTATCTAAGAGCATTTAATATGATGTCTGGAGGCCATTAAAAGATGAGCAGTGTAAAGATTATTAGCAAAGGGGTAGAAAATAAATGTAGAAGATTGCATAATACAGTTTGATCAGTTTAGCAGCCATAGTGCCCTAGGAATCTTTCAGGCCTCAGGATATCATCTTGAGCATCCCTGACCTTTACAGTGTTAACAGTTGGAGTAATAATAACAACACGTTGTTGTTGTTAACAGTAATTTGAATGTGTTAGACGCTTTATCTTGCCCTAGGCAACCCAAAGCAATGGACAACCAACCAAACAGGCAGACAAAAAACCCAAACATAGATACATTAAAACCAAGAGGAAAAAAGAAATACATTAAAAACATCTCACCCACTTCTAAAAGGCTACAGATACTAAAGGCCAGAAGCCTGGTTATAGAGGAAATATTTAATGATGGTGCCAGGAGAGCCTCCCTGAGGAGAGCATTCCAAAAATTGGGGGGGGGGGGGCAGAAAAGGCCTGTTCTCATGTTGCCACCCTTCTTGTGGAGGTGTACACAAAGAAGGGCCTCAGATGATGATCAGAGGGTCTTGGTAGGTTTATTTTGGGAAACGTGGTTCTTGAGGTATTGTGATCATGAGTATGCTGTTAGTGTTGTCTTAAGTTATACACTTTTCACCTCTATGTCCATGTCACAATCAGAAAGCTGTCTGGTGGACTGGCTGTGACTCATTTTGGATCTTGTATTCATAGATGACATAAATCTTATTTAGAGGAGAGTGAAGAATGTTCCACTTACTGTTAATCTGATATGAGGTATCTTTTTATGGCTTGCTGATTGTTACAGATTACATTAGGAATGGATACCTGAGGTTTACTGTGATAAGTTACAAAAAAACGGCCCAACATCTACCTCTTGTTGGAAACATTGGCTTATCTTGGATGACAGGTGTTTTTGAAGGCAATGTTCAGGTAAAATGCGGGGGAGGGGGGTGGAAAGAGAGAGAGAAGGGAAAGCTGGTAAAGGAATTTAGGGATCCGTAATGTGGTAGATTGGGGTTGAGGGATATTTTTAGAAGTTAATCATTGGTCTAGCAAATACTGCTAGTTTTGTTTTTGGTGACACCTTTGTGTAGCCTCTACACATCTGCTTAATGGGAAATTAGGCCTTATTGAGTTCGCTGCTGCTGATTTATGATGTGATTCAGAAGGAAGATGTAAATATCTTCTGTGCTATTTTGCTGATAACTATAAACAAAAACAATAGGACAATAACATGATTGCCACAGCCACACCTTCAAAATATTGCTGTTTTAAAAATACAAGTCTTTGACCTTGGCTGTTATACAATCAAAGGAGATAAAGATGACCTACCTTAATTTTGTCACACTTAATTAATTGAAGTGTATCTGGGTTATTAGGATTTTGTGTTAGAAGGACTATTTTACAGCTAATCCTGACTGCTATATTCTGTGTAGCAACAAAAGCCAGCTATAGCTCTGTGGGAATAAGGATTTTGTAGATGCACCTTTGAATGAATAATCATTTGTGTTATTGGTATCATGTGCAGAGTATGGAGACTGATTTTCTTTCTACTTTTCCCCCTTCTCGTTGTCTGTTGCATGCTTTAGAATTGTTTCATTATGGATGTGACCCTTCTGGACGATTCACAAAAACCGTATTGGTGTTTTAGTGCTCCAGTCAATATGGCGCTATCTCCCAAGCCATCCGGTCTCTATCAATATTTGGGACCCAGTTATTATTTGAATTACATGGATTTGACTGGAAAAGTACATATGGAGCTGGTGTGGATGGAAGAAACAAATGAATACTGTATAATCAATCTGGTCCTTTATTTGAGCACCGAGAAAGTTAATAGCTGGTTTGGTACAAATTACTGAATTTAGTTTTTTAAACAGAGTTGCTTTACATAAAGATGATTATTTTGAATTTTACCTGTCTCTAAAAATATGTACTATAATTTACATGTAACAAAAACTCTTATGTTAGCTGTCTGTGAATTAAAAAGAATAGTTTATTTTCTGTAAACATGTAAAATAAATTACTTTGTCTTTGAATAGACTATGTGTGTTCCTGCAGAAATTAAGCATTCTTGTTAGATAAGGGAACATATCCTAATAACAGGAGTGGCTAACCTGAAGCTCTCCTGCTGCTGTTCAACCCAAACTCCCAGCAGGCCCAGCCAGCATGGCTAATGGAAGTTGTAGTCCAAAAACTTACAAATAAACATGAAACAGTATCCCATAATGTAAGAATATATTGTTTAACAGAGATATTAGTGGAAGATGTTACAAAGAATCTTGTGGGGGCCTTGATTACTTTAGTAAAACAGGATGACTTCTGATGTACTGTTTACAGACCATTATCTTTGTTTGTTGGAATACAAACCTAGGCATGTTTCGAAGCATTGAATCATTGTAAATCCAGAATGATTCCACCTAGTCCAACATTGTGGGATGTATTCAGCTAAGTCCTCCTTGGAATAAGCCTATTGAAATTAATGAGCCTAAGTTAATTAACTCCAGGGGGCCTCCTCTGAATATGACTTGCATTGAATACCATCCTGTGTTTTCAGCAGTGACCATTATATGCGGCCTGTAGACCACCAGCAGGACTCGAAGGCCACTCAGCAACTGGTATTCAGTGGATTTTTGCCTCTGCACATGAAGGTTTACCTTTAATCAACATGACTAATAGCCATAGGTCAATAATTTCATAGAATCTATATCTTAACCTCCACTTGGAGTCATATAAGCCAAATATAATCTGTACATATGCAGTAGTTCTCATGGATGTACATTCTGTCATTGAACTTAAATTTGAGGACTAGTGAGATTTTTTTTCCAATTCAGTGGAAAGATGTGTAAGCCACTCAGAAGCCATTTTGGAATGTAAAAACAGTATATAAATTAATAAATATGAGAAAAGTGGGGTGGTGGAGATGAATGAAAACAATTTCAGATATATTCTGAGACAAAAATTCATACGGGAAAATATTCATGTATTTTCCTTTATATTTTGTATCTGAAATTGTGTTTCTATGCTTTTGTCATAGCCTTTGGCTAGCACAATAAACTTACTGACGATGGCATTGATTACTATCCTGAGGATTAGTTTCAGTAGTGGGTGAGTGCATTTGAATTCAAAAAGGCAATGAGATTTCAGCTGGTTTTTCATCTGCAGAACACTTAACAAACAGACCAGAATCTTTGCCTCTGTCTTGGTGCATTTTTCTCTGTCATTTTGTCAGCGGGAGGGAAATAGGCAAACCCTACAGAATGCTTCAGATCCTATTTGATCTCATTCTTGAGTCTGGAACTGAATATTTCATAAGATGGCAAAGAATTCAAAACAATAGTGGACAGAGTGTTTGCAAGTTAGCCTAGTCTTAGAGGTGGAAATGTTCTAGCTATAGATCTGCAGAATTGCAAAGCAGGTATAGCTTAACTTAAGCGTGATTAATCCTAGAACTTGTTTGTGTTGCTGAAACACATCTCTTAAGGTTTTGAAGTAATAATAAAGGAGAATGCTTTGTGCATGTTAGAAAACCCTTTCCTTCCTTCTGAGCTGCTATAGTTAGCCTCCTCCAACCCTTTTTCCACAGAAGTTGCTATTGAGAAAGGAGAGGGCGCCGTCTGTCTGTTTTGCCAAGAAACACAACAATGGGCCATGGAAAACTGACATGAGGTATATCTCTTGAATCTGAAAGCTCATACCAATAGTGTCAGGCAGGGCTTTTTTTCAGCTGGAACTTGCCGGAATTCAGTGACAGCACCTCTAAGTTGGGCTCTATTGCCATTATAAGAGAACAAGGGAAGCATTCCTAGTCAGTTCCAGCACCTCTTTTTCTAGAAAAATAGCACTGGTGTCAGGTGTGAAAAACAGCTAGAAACTCCTACACTACTTGCTGCATAAATGGATTTTGTACTTTGTTCAGCCTCCACAAGAGTAGCTGAATGACAAATTATTACTTGAATGTGGTGCAGCTTTTCTGCTAAGGCATTCAAAGCGGTTTGCTATTTTAAATGATAATAGTAAAGTTACAGCGCAAAAGAATTGAACAGCAGAGCTGTTTCAGGACATTGGTGGGCTCTTCAGGAGCTGATGGCATTCACTCCCTGGTCTGAGCTTTTAAAAAGCAGCTTCTGGAAACTTAGCTCTTTCAATAAATACATATCTTGCCCAGTGCTGCATAATTGCTTGCTAGCTCTTTTACCTGAAGCCACCATAGTGCTGTGCAGTTTCTTCTACTATGAAAAGAGCAGAGTACTTTGGCTGTGCTTCCTCCTCTGTCAGAAAGAGAGAATGAGAACACATCATCTACCGGCATCATATCCTACTGTTCTGTATACACGCTACCAGGAAGGCTTGCAAGAACGGGCATTTGAGGACCTATGACCAGACACTTAATGGTAGGTCTCTTTATTACTAACCTCATAATGTTCACATTCAGCTTCATCCTTGAAATCCTGTATCTAAACCCTGTCAATTTGTTGTTAAAATAGAAAATAAAAAACCTCAAACATGCAAATAAAAGCTTGCATGTGCATGCATTTTATCTTGCCTACTGACCAAAACTTGGGAGATGAATGAAATACCGGTAGTTTTTTAGATGCTACCTTAAAAGGCATTTCCTCCCATCCCCTCAGTGAACCAAGAACCACTTGAAATTTGTTCTCCTCATTATAATTCATGCACCTTGAATTAACTGTGATCAGGGCCAGATGCTGTTAATTTTGCCAGTCTTCTATACAAAATTGCATGGCAGCAGTGCCAAGGTAAGGAAAGGTTTGTGCTTCTGTTCTGGTGGGAAAGGCTGTAATTTTAACACACACAAAACAGATTGGCAAAAGCTGAAGGATAGACACTGTAGTTCTCCAAACGACATATTAATTTATGCAATTGCTTATTCCCAAGGTGGCCACTAGCAAAAGGCCAAATAGACAGTGCAAGAGTCCCTGAGCTAGATCAGGACTATGAAACTGGAGAAGTGGAGGTGATTAACCCTTTGACCTCACGATCCTAATCAGAATCTTCTCCCCATGTCTGCTATTTGCAGTGGGAGGAAAAATCACATTGGCACCCATAAAAGTCTCCTCTCATTGTAGCAGGCAGCCCCAGTTATTGGGGGTGAGCATGGATGAAGGGTTTACTACACACACTATGATCCCAATTCTTCCATGTCCATTTTGCAATTCTTTGAGGTGGGGGGGATACTTGTTATACAGACTGACATTCTAGGCTATCAAGCCAGGTTTTGTGTAACTTTTCACTGGTCTCTGCAACATCTGCTTGTAGCTCCTTAGCTGTTATGGCCATATCTTATGTTTGCCTTTAGCCAGATGGGTTTCACTTTTTAAAAAAATGCAAAACAATAAAGGGAACTTTGTATCTAAGTTGCTAAAGGCTTCATGTGGTCCTTGCCTCACTTTATTTTAACAAGAACTGTGTACCAGGAGCATTGAGTGAAAAGTACAATCCATTTGTAAGTAGGAAAGTCACTTTGAGCTATTGTTTTGACTAACATGAAAGGTCATTTGAACTACAATTCCCAGAACACTCCTGTAACTGATCCTGCATGTTCGCCAAACAAATGATGATCCATCTTTCGGAAGCCAGATTGATGGATTATGATTCCCTGAAGTTCAAAGGATTGACTCTGACTTTGCAGAGTGCCTCATTATAGTTGTGTGTGGTATTCCCTCGCTCCTGTTTCAAGCGATCCATATATTATATTTTTCCACCTTGGAGGTCTGGTGACTGCATGAACTCCTTGGCCTTCTCCGATGTGTCTGCCTTAGCAGAACAGTACAATGCAACTGGAAAATGCTTCTTAACTGTGGAGCATGTCATGATTAGGCTTCTTCTTTTCAGTTTGTATTTGCTGCCAGGGCTAGCTTTGAATTACTTTTTAAAGTTCAAACAGCATTCTCCCCAACCCCTTACCTCCCTGCCTTTTCCCCTTCAAGAGAGAGAGACCATATATATATAGCATATGGTTACCAGATTTTTTTCAATGAATCCAGGGACACTTTTTTTTTTTTGAAGCTGAGTAGCAACAGGGAATCAGTAATAATAAAGAATAATACATTTTTATTTATACCCCGCCCTTCCTGGTTCAGGGCGCCTAACAACAAATTTAAAACACTTAATTGATACAGTATAAAACGTGAATAACAATAAATTCAGAATTCAAAAATCAATTTAGGGGGAAAATTCATCCAATAAACATTAGATGATCACCAGGGCTAGCTGGCTAAATTAGTCCTATCTGGGCCAGTGAGGAGACCAGGGGAGAATTAGCTGTGGGATCCCAGAGCATGTAATCTTCATAAAAAGGGGAGGGGGAGAGAAGGAAAGGGAATAAAAGATCAGGCTAAGTTCAAATTGAAAGACAGGTGGAATAGCTCTGTTTTATAGGCCCTGCGGAAGGAAGTTAAATCCTGCAGGGCCCTGGTCTCATGGGACAGAGCATTCCACCAGGTTGGAGCCATCACTGAGAAGGCCCTGGCCCTAGTGGAGGATAATCTGACTTCCTTAGGGCCCAGGGCCTCTAAACTATGATTATTCATGGACCTTAATGTCCTCTGTGGGGCATACCAGTAGTGGGGATGGTGAGGCAAAAGACCCTGGGCCCAAGCACAAATGCATATCCCAAGCCTTCCCTGATGATCTGCCCCTTCCCGCTTTGTTTTGACAGATCGGGGGAGGCTCGGGAGTCGCAGGCGGGCGTTGCCCAGGAGGGGTGCAAGGCACACAGTTTCTCTGCCAGGCAAGGTGCAAAGCTCTTCTTTCGTACCCTGTGAAACATAAATGCGCAGAGTTTCTTCAAAAACTGGGCAATGGCGCACCGCCCACCCGTAACTCCCAAGCCTTCCCTGATCTCCTGCCCCCTTTGATTTGACTGATCGGGGAGGCTCAGAAGTCAGGGACAGGCGGCAGTTGCCCAGTTTTTTAAGAACTCTGCACATTTATATTTCACAGGGTGTGAAAGAAGGGCTTTGCACCTTGCCTGGCAGATAAACTGCGCCTCTTTCGCCCCTCCTGGGCAATGGA